GCATTTTTAGCATAGTAACCTCTCATCGCAGTTGTCGGGATTCGAACCCGGGACCTAACTCTTGTAGCACTCCCTCGCTACTAGTTGAGCTACGCCCACCGGTTCAAAAGGGGCAAAATAGCTATATAGACGGAATATTTTAACCCTAATTTGGTCAATTTCATTTTGAATTGATATTTAATTTTGTGTGCAAAATATAAAATGTTACCCTCACCAGTCCACAAGATTGAGACAAAAAGGAGTAGTTCAATTTTTAAGAAAAATGGAATCATATGTTTAATATTAAATTGATAAATATGAATAAAGTAAGAATGAATTGTACTCTTAAAAAAATAAGAATGAATTGTAACTACTCAAATTTTACTATGTACTTCTATTAGACAAATTTCCCGGGACAAATAAAAAAGGTAAAAGAAGACAGAGTTATAGAGACATGGAGCTACTATCGTATTACTCCGTATTTAGTAAAACAGTGGTTAGTATGAAAAATGCGGATGTCTACATTTACTGGTAAAAAAACTTTTAGTTTTGGATTGTTCTCATCTAATATATTTATGTTTGGCCTAAATTAATTTAAAAAATATCATTCATGTATATATTATTATAATCCTCTAAATTTATTTAAATTGATGTGAATGTGTGGTCTATCAAAATCATATAACATAATAGGATTGTTGGATAAGGATCCTCTGTTGTACGGCATAGTGTCTTGCGGCATCGAATGGCAGGAGAGCGATGAGGACGGTCTCGAGATCGGTGAAAGAATGAATTCCATGATATCTAACCCTTGAATTTTTTATTGGACGCTTGTGAAGAGATAAGACACCCTACATTGCTCAAAACAAGGCAGAAACTCCGAATCCAGCCGGAGTTCGAAATCAGTCAAATTAAGAAGCCGTTTGACAACACTGTTTTTGGCTTATTAGACTTATCAACCAACTTTTTCACCAAACACGTAACTTATGTTTTCGCGCGCTGAATTGTGTAATAAGCAGAAAAGTAAGGTTCAAGTTAATTTTCTGGTTGTATTGGCTGAAGTTATGACCATTTTAGCTATTTTTACATACGGAGTATAATTTTTTCTACATTTTATACCTGTATATTTTAAAAATAATTTTTTCTTAAATCACCAGAATCAGCCAATGCAGTCACTTCAACCAGAACTTCACAAGTTTCAGGAGAATCAACCAAATCAGCCAATTTTGATGCTACCAAACGGGTTCAAAATCATCTCAAGTTGTCAAAAGTTACCACATGGACGCTAAGCTTTGTTGCCATATACTATCGTATTTCTCTTCATTTTCTTGATTTTCTGTCCGTTGCAATAATGACTTGTGGCATTTGGGTACATTTTCACGTGGAGAAGGCGTATATGAGACCGTTTGAATGTGTTTTTCTATGAGCTTATTATTAACATATGAGCTGGATCGTTTTTTATACACAGAAACGACAATTTTGGGCACGAGAAATGACGAATCATATTTTGTTTATTAGCAAGAGGTCTGAACAAATCAAGATCATATAGTAAGAATCCAAATTGATATCGAACTAAGTTAGTGATTCTGTGTTCGCCATATCATATTTTATAAAATTTAACCAATAAAAATTGAACTGAGCAATCGGAAATTACAAGGTAAAACAAACAAACAAACACTCACAATCAAATGAAGGGCCTTTTGGTGTATGTTTTGTATTATACGAAGTATACGTTTTTTGTCACTTAAAAATCATTTGAGTCAAAATGTATAGTAAACAATAGGGTTGGGACCGGTTTTTACTCAAAATGAGTGGAACCGTTATAAAAGTTTTAACTAATGAAATCGGTTCCTATATAAAAAAATCAAGAACCGTTAAGGAATCAAACCGGTAGTAAACGTTTCGGTTCTTCCTCTTACCGGTTCCTAGAATAATTTTTTCTCACTAAGAATTAACACATAATTTACTTTCTACAAACAACATAAAAACGTTGAAAATGTAAAACACAAGTATTAAAATTTTATTTGAAGCTCTAATCACTTCAAACATCAAAGCTCAAACTTAATTAATGAATTGTGAACACCTAATAGAACAAAAGATGATTTAAATTTTCATGTAATAAATAAAACATAAAAATCATAGTAGTGTGCGAGCGATGAAGGTTACTCGTCATCATAGTAGAAAGAATAGGACGCCTACTTCAAGTCTTTCAAAACATAAAAAATACATTGATTTTGCATTGTAGAGTGGGAGCGATGAAGGATACTCGTCATCATAGTAGCAAGAATAGGACGTCTACTTCAAGTATTTCAAAACATAAAAAAATACATTGAGTTCACATGTATAGATGTAAAAAAACATCGTTACATTCTATTGATTCATAATAAATCTAATAATTAGAAATATCATGAAAATAGTAAAGTAAAATATGTGCAATCAACTACAAGTTATTTGAGTTATTTTGTATTTATAAAATTTATGTGATGGAACAAAAATTGATTTGTAGAAAGGAGTTTAATGTATTATATCAACCTCATGTACAATATTTATTACTTCATTTTCGTTGATTAAGTTAGAATTGTTAGTTAAATATCTTATATTGTTTTATTATTATTGTTGTGGTGGTGGTTATTATTGCTATTATATTATTATTGTTGTTGTTGTTATTGTTGTTACTACTACTACTAATATTTTTTATTTTTTTATTTTTTTAATAACGGTTCCTTAACGGTTCTATGCACATATTTTTTATAGCAACCAGGAACCGAACCGTTATAACTCGCTTCGGTTTGGTTCCTACAAATGAGGCATTAATTGTTAATGGGTCGGTTTCTAGATGTTCTTAACTAGGGGTGGGCAATTCGGTTTACGGTTCGGTTTTCTTCAGTTTCGGTTTATTCGGGTTGGGAGAATTTGTACCAAACTAAAACCATTTGTGTTTCGGTTCGGTTTCGGTTTGGTTCCGGTTCGGTTCGGTTTGAAGTTCGGTTTACCAAAGTACAAAACATTATGTTTAATTTAGTTTGATTTGATACGTTTGCTTATGTTTATTATTTTATTTGATTAAGTTCTATATTTCGAATTAGAAAATGAAAGTTGATTAAGTCCATCTTATCTTTTTTTAATTTATTGATTATTTAAATAAAATGTAAAGAAAATAAAAGATAGAAAAATAAATAATAAAATATTATAAATTGAAACTTCTAACATCTTTTTTATCACTACAAAAAAATTCACTTCTTACAAAATATAAGATAGTTGATTAGCATTTATAATATCACATAAAATATTCATAAAACCTAAAAGAGTCGGTGGTACAAATGTTGTAATATTCACAATTTTATTCAAATGAATCATGTAAAAATATAAATGCAATTTGCTATTGTTATCGCCAAACATAATAAATACAAATATGTCGTATTAGCTAACTTTTTCACAATGATTGTATGTAATGTGTAAAAGTTAAAATGATATGAGTATATGCTTAAATATATGTATTTTCATGTCTAAATTATTTATTTATATCTTGAAAATGAAGAGTCATGAAGGTAAATACAAAGTGTGTGTGTGTCTGTGTTGTTCGGTTCGGTTTACGGTTTTCCATTTTAAAGCAAACCAAACCAAAGTACCCAAACATTTGGTTTGAACAAATGTTTACCAAATAGTTTACTTAAGTAAACCTAAACCAAACTAAATCAAACCACCAATTTTAATAATATATGAAAGTTTTTTGAGTTTCTTTAGTTCGGTTCGGTTTTGTTCGGTTTTTATCGGTTTCGGTTCGGTTCGGTTTAATACGGTTTGAAAGAAATAGTACCAAACTCAAACCAAATTGTATACGGTCCGGTTTCGGTTCGGTTTGGTACGGTTCGGTTCGGTTAAACCAAACCGTTATGCCCACCCCTATTCTTAACGGTTCGGTTCCAATCGGTTATACGGTTCCCGGTTCCAAAATCCCACCCCTAATAAACAATTGAAGTTCCTATCAAATTTGAGAAAAATGTTAATATTTCGTGCGTTAAAAATTCTATAAAGAAATTTATCAGATTTTTTGAAAGAAAAATATCAGATTTATCATGTTGATACATCCTAATAATTTTTGGGAGAATATATAGGATACACTTCAACATTTCAAAAAAAAAAAAAACAGGATACATTAGAACTTGTACCCTTTTATCCTTCTTAAAACTTGTACCAAAGGTTATACTTCCATCTATTAGAGAACAGAGGGAGTATTATAAAAAGTTAATATTTTGAAATTTTATATTAGTAAAAATTTACGAGTAGTACAGAGTAATATTTTATACATAAATTTGATATATTATGGAGTAGTATACTCCCTCCGCATTTAAATGTTCACTACACTAGTTTTGGGCACAATATTTTAGGATAAAAAAGCAGGGGTAATGAATAGTGTAACAAAAGTAGGAGAAAAGGTGTAAAAGTATGAAAAAAAAGATAAAAAGTAAATAAAGTAAGGGTAGTTGAGTATTTTATAAATGGTAAACTTACCCAAAATTGAAATGTAGGAATTTTTTAAATAAATCACAAAAAAAAGTGTAGAGATCTTTTAAATACGAAGTGAGTATTAAAGAAAGGGAGGAAGTATGCTATCTAATTTCAATGATATATTAATTCTAAAACTAAAAATTATGTATATGCGTTTAATTATTCAATTAAGCTTGAGGTACATACCGTTTAATTATCTAATTATTCAATTGAAAATACGTTATGTCTGACACAAAAACCCTACACAAACATGTGTACTAGCGTGTATGAAAAATGTGTAACAAAAACCGGTAGTTGTTTTTTGTTCCTATTTTATCCACCAAACTCACTAAAATTGGCAAGGACCTAAACGTTTCTGGGACACTATTAGAAATGGTTTTTGCCTAAACAAATGATTTAACAGATTATTATCTCAAATTGCATGAGCTTTGGCCAGCTGTGCCATCCTGCTTAATCTGTACGTATATTAGTGTATATACGAAGTATATATATATATACACACACTCCAATAAACAGAAACAGGCCCTGGCACTAACAAAACGCTTTGTGCTCTGTTTCCGCAAAAAGCTGAGTTTAGAGAGAGAGGAAAAATGGAGGGGAAAGAGGAGGATGTGAAGCTAGGAGCGAACAAGTTCTCAGAGAGGATGCCGCTGGGAACCTCGGCGCAGGGGAAGGACTACAAGGAGGCGCCGCCGGCGCCGCTGTTCGAGCCGGGGGAGCTCCACTCCTGGTCGTTCTGGAGGGCCGGAATTGCAGAGTTCATCGCCACCTTCCTGTTCCTCTACATCACCGTCCTGACTGTCATGGGGTACTCCAGATCTAGCAGCAAGTGCAACAGCGTCGGCGTTCAGGGAATTGCTTGGGCCTTCGGTGGTATGATCTTTGCCCTCGTTTACTGCACCGCTGGAATCTCAGGTACCTCTCTTCCTCTTCCCCACCATGTTTATGAACTGTGGTTTTTTGTGCTGTATAAATTTTCAGATCTATGGAAGAATGCTTCTGTACATATATAATGATATCTGGTAGTTTATTTTTTGAAATCTGAAAGTATGTACTCCCCTTTCCCATAATTAAGTTTCAGTTTATGTGACTGATGATATACTCATATTATCATTAATAAATAGAATTTACATATTACTATTGTGAGTAATGATCCCGTCCATGGACCGAAAGTGACGTCCAGCCGAGGAGGCCATTAGAGGTTCCTTCCTTGTGGAATTTTTTGATGAAAATTTTTGAGCATGTTTCTTATCAAGTCTTTTTTTTTTCACAAAAAGTTTCAGCTAAAAATTCGATCATCAAATAAATTGTAGAACAAAACTTTGCTGCTTTATATATATAAAGCACATTTATCTTCAAAAATAAATTGTGGAACAAAACCTTGAACATTAGTTCATTTGAAATGTTTCCGTTTTCTCTTTTGATAGCACACACTTTTGACCATTGATATATTTCATATCTTATTAGTAAAAAAATCAGATTTAAAAATACTTTTCAATAATCAAATTTCTAATAAATTAGTAAATAAAATGTTGTCAAAGTTGAACCTGTGAATATCATAAAATTCAATATGTTGCGTGTACTTTAGAACGGAGGTAATAATAAACAATTTTTATGATAAAAATTTTAATACATTACTCAATAAAAAAAGGTTGAAGTAAAAATGGTACTACATACGTAGTATTACTTATAAATATAAAACCTAGAATTTTACCAGGGCTACACTGCGACTGAAAGTCTAGTATGGTTTGTTGTATAGTATCTACAGCCTAACGTAAAATATTAATATGAAATATACACCTGATACATAACCCCTCACAATAGGAACCTTTTATAGGAGTCAGAAATAACATGTGTTGTAAAACATTTCAATTCCTGGCTCAATCCTATAATTTGTAATCTTTTTTGGTATGGTTTAAAACAGGCGGACACATAAACCCAGCAGTGACATTTGGGTTGTTTCTGGCAAGAAAACTGTCTTTAACAAGGGCAGTATTCTACATTGTAATGCAATGCCTTGGAGCAATATGTGGGGCAGGAGTTGTGAAGGGGTTCCAGCCATCACTCTTTGAAGTAAAGGGTGGAGGCACGAATGTAGTGGCCCATGGTTACAGCAAGGGGGATGGCCTTGGTGCCGAAATAGTCGGCACCTTCGTCCTCGTATACACCGTCTTCTCTGCCACAGATGCCAAGAGAAATGCCCGTGACTCTCACGTCCCTGTAAGTATTAGAATGCACTGGTCTCATAGAGAATGCAAGACAAGCCTAAACATCACTATGGTCACTGCAGTGATATACATAAGTACCAACATAGACATTATATATTGAATGCCATGTTGTGTTGAATGTTTTTACTTAGATTGCTTTCTTTCCCGGAGCAAACTTAAACCAACCAAACCAGACTTAAACATACCAGATCAGACTAAACTTTCATAGTTATAAAATACACAGAGACCAGACCAGACTTAAACAGACTAGACCAGTTAATTTCAGTACAAGTAAAAACATCCTAATACACAAGAAGTCATATTCGTGATATGTGTTTAGTATTTGAACAAAATAAACAAATCCCTCACTAAATATTGAGCTAGGCACCTTAATCAATTGTGCAACAACCATTGCAGATATTGGCTCCTCTTCCAATTGGATTTGCAGTTTTCTTGGTTCACTTGGCCACCATCCCCATCACTGGAACTGGCATCAATCCTGCCCGCAGTCTTGGTGCTGCCATTATCTACAACAAGGATCATGCTTGGGATGACCATGTGAGTTATTTATTTTGTTTCTGTAAATGATTATTAAGATTTCCATGTCTGGGAATCACAGTTATTGCTCATTTTGTTCTTCAAAGCTGATGAATGTATGTTTTGTGTGTTGTTTGCAGTGGATATTCTGGGTCGGACCTTTCATCGGAGCTGCTCTTGCCGCACTGTACCACCAAGTTGTGATCAGAGCCATCCCATTCAAGAGTGGAAGCTAAAGACTCTTCTTCCCCTATCGTCATTGTGACCAGAGCCATCCCAATTAATTTCTGTGCTGTTGAAATTATCCTTGTGTGCGGATATTGTTAATTAATTAGTTGATTCAAAGATGCGCATTGTGTGAAGACAAAATTGCTCTGTAATTATTGGTACCATGAGTAACTTTATTGATTTTGTGATTGGCTTATATCTGTATTAGGTTGTTAATACTCGTACCCATCTTGGTAAGCTGAAGGTTATTTTTCTTGAGTACTTGAATATGTGATTTGTAATGGAAAAATTCTTGAAATAAGAGTACTATTCAATAAGATTAATATTATTTTTATTCTGTAGAAATTGTCCAATATAGGAATAAACATAAACATAATTGCAAAAATAAGAGTAAAACTACAAACGTCCCTCTCTCTACCCTTAAAAACTTCCCTAAACTAATTTATTCTAAAATAGGACTTGTTTGATCATATTAAAATATAAAAAAATTCTAAAATATTTTGAAAACTTTTAGAATGATAAAATTGAAAAAATTAAAATTGTTTCATAAAAACTTTAAAAATAAATACTCCCTCCGTCCCGAAAACAACTTCCCACTTTCCATAAATGGATGTCCCAAAATTAACTTCACACTTCAATACTTTCCTTATTTGGCAAATTCTCTATATCAAAAAAGTGATAAACAGTGCCAAACAGTGTTTAAACAGTGCCAAACAGTGTTTAAACAGTGCCAAACAGTGTTTAAACAGTGCCAAACAGTGCATTCTAAAGTCAAATTTATTTCCTAAAAGTGTGTGAAAGTCCAACCGGGAAGTTGTTTTCGGGACGGATGGAGTATAAAACAGATACCCCCGAGTATATTTTTTATGGAGGCTTTTCCCTCAGCATTGGCCCACCATCCAACAATGTCACATCTGATCTGTTAAAAAGTACTCCCTCCGTCCCTAAATAAACTTCCATTTCGCTTTTCGAAGGTCAAGTTAAATCACACTTAAACTCTTACTTTATATGTCAAAATTTTATAAAAAGTCAATTTTTTTGCAGGCTTTGTAGCGGGTTTGATGTAATTTCTGAATATGTAAATTTTATTTTCTAAAAATAATCCGAGTTTTCACAGGGATCATTTAACTTTATCGCTGGTCAAACTTCGTAACCCGCAATTGGAAGTTTAATATGGGACGGAGGTAGTATCTTATGTAAAGTCATCATTTTATTTGAATATGTCATAAAAATGGCATTTTTAGGGTTTACTCTTCGAAAACGTCAAATTTTCTCTAAAACTATCATTAAGATGACATTTTTGACAAATGTTGACATTTTTTCAGTGGTTGGAGCTAGTGGTGCTGGAAGATTGTTGAGGCGGCGGCCTACATATTTTTATTATATGTATTTTTTAATTTTTTAGTTTTTATTTAATATTTTTATTTAATACTAGTAGTTTTTTATTTTTATTAAATTTATATAATACGGAGTATATTTTATTTAATATGTATTTTCATGATTTTTTATTTCTTTACAATTTTATTATAAATTAATTAATGTTATTTCTTTTATCTTTTAATTATTAATGAAAGTGGTTGTGGCTTGGGTAGGGGTGATTTTTTTTCCAAATCTAAAGTTACTCCTATTTAGAACATGATACTCATATTTTTGTTGTTTGCTTATGTTTTACTCATATTTAGAGAATTCACTCTTTATTTTATAAATATGAGTAATTATTGCTGAGTTTGAAAGATGCTATTATATTTAAAGTTTGGTAGTATTAATATATGACAATAAATTCATAGTTATGAAATAAAAACATGAAATCTTATTTCAAAATCACAAACATTTTTACTCCTTTTTAGGAAAATTATTATGAAATGATGTGAAAAATAAGACTACGAAAATCTTTTCTATGACCAGCCCATTTGTCCCTTAATATCTTTGACAAAGTATCCTTGAGCAAATTGAGATGTTTAAGATACAAGTCAATCTATCTATAATAATATAAAGTAACAAGGTGTGTCACATTACTTTTCCCTCCAATAACACATTTAGTGATTTATGCCCATTAAACAATATGAGTTACATTAATAATTAGCAATTAGTAATAATAATAGTAGTAGTAAATAATAATATAATATGGAGTAATCTATAATAATATAAAGTAACAAGGTGTGTCACATTGCTTTTCCTTCCAATAACACATTTAGTGATTTATGCCCATTAAACAATATGAGTTACATTAATAATTAGCAATTAGTAATAATAATAGTAGTAATAAATAATAATATAATATGGAGTAATGTGAATATTTTCAATTCAAAATAATAATAGTAATAATAATAGTAATAATAATAATATAATAATAGTAATATAATCTGTATAATATATAATTGGCAGGATTTCATTTAACGCATATTAGAATGTTTATGATATTTTGATTGGAATGTTTTCAATTATAAGCTAGACCAAACAAGATTAAAAAAAAATAGACTAAACTAAATCAAATTTAAATAGGCTCGATCAAATCAGAGTCACTAAACTAAAATAATGACACATTTACTATATTATTAAATCAGAGTCAGTATAAATATGTTTAACTTTGTACTATATAAGTCATCATAGTCATAATAAATTTAGTCATATTTTTGTCCATGAGTTTTATTCATGTAATATTATAAAAAAAAATCTTCTATTTATGGAGTGTGACGGTAAGGAGGCACATCATAGTATCATGTCTTTTTCTTCAATAGAAATTGAATCTTTTGCTATATACCAGTAGTAATTCTTCAGAATTTGAAAGCAACAATGAATAGTTTGAGTATGATACTGATTCATTCCGTAATTCTTTCTTTTCCCTTTATCAAACTAAATGGCCACGTGGAAACAACTTCATATATGATTGATTGTCATCAAGCAGATTCAACAGTACATTAGATGATTGACTAAAGATGGGGTCTTCAACTTCCTAGGCATGTAATTATTTAGTTTATTTTCCAGTCTCGATGGAAAATGGTATGATGAATGATAAATATACACCTTTAAAGAGTCATTTTTTCCACTGATATCAAGAAAATGTAATACTCCTTTCATAATATTATTGGGTGTTTGATAATGTGAATTTTTTTATTTTTCAACTGTAGTATCAATAACGTTTTTGGTTATTGGATGTTTACATAAGTTTGATCAGTATCAGTTTTAGCATTCTTCAATTGCTTAGATCTTCTGTAAATATATTTTATAAACATAAATACATAACAAAATATTTATATCTAATCACAAATGTTTTTGTTAGTATGAAATGATCCCAAATTTGTTGAACTAATTTTATGATTCAACATACTAATTTTTTAGAAATGATAATCCGAGTTGGTCAACCTATTCGTTAGATTCTAACTATCATTTAAATGAATAGTTAAACATATAGCGTGCGCATCCTGTGCAACACACAGGTTAAAAATCTAGTTTTAGATAAAAGTCCGAGCTTCCTCTAAGATATGCTTCACAATTGAAATCAACAATATCAAAATCGGAGCAGTTTCCTCGATCCACAATCCCCACAATCCTTAACTTTCTTTATGCAATTCCCCCACCTTGTTTCACCTTTTTTTTAGTTTTCGAACAATCTCTGTTATGAAAATATTTTCTGTTTAACATTATTTTGTTAAAAAAATTCTAGATCAAGGATATATTAAATGCACAGTTAGTTGCTATTTAACAAAAAAGTATCAAGAAAAATAATTAATAATTATCACTTTGTTGTGTTCATTTTATAACATTACACCAACTTTTTGAATTCCTATCTAAAATCCATGTTATGTTAATTTATAATATCATTCTAATGCACAACTATTTGAACCTTATGACCCTAAGCATAATATGAAACTCATTTCTATAAATAATAAACTTAATATATTTGTTACAACTTATACATTAACTTATTCGTTTAAGTGTATTCATTAGTGTGAAAGCACCAGAATCGCTTCTGCACTTTCACCCAAACACTTCAACTTATGCTTCTGCTCCCTGAAGGAGCAGAATCAGTTTTAAGAATCAGATCCAAACACCCCCAAACTCTCCTAGTCTACCCTTGAGCCACCTCAACTCTATCATCTCTAGGAAGAGTTATGCTTCTCTACCTTGCGAGTAGAGAGCCTTTCAGCTTTACAACGAAGGTCTCACACCACATTAACCAACCCGAGGACGGTACACTTAGTCAATCCTCAAAACCCCATTACAATATGAAGAAGGGAAAATAAAATTATATCTAGAACTCTGTGTGAGCAGTTGCATATGCCTTGGACTTCAATATTGCTTTTGTGAATAGATCCCTTAATTTTTCTCGGTGGCACACTTTCTTCTTCTTGAACTCGGCATATATAAGCTTCTAAGAACAAGTCCATTGATGCATCTTTCCTTGGATGGACAAGTTACCAAACGTGGAGCTTGCCTTGTTATCCAGGGCCGGCTATGAGGCTGTGCAAACAGAGCCTCTGCACAGGGCCTCAAAAATTAGAAGGCCCAATTTTTTTAAAATATATATAGTATATATATATATAATAATTGTTTAATTTATAAATAAATGTTTGAAGTTTGAAATACGAACTACGAACAGCCCATTTGAAATTTTGAAACACGGTTAAACTTCGAAAGGCCCAACTCAAAACCCTACTTCTACACTCCTGCCTCTAAATTAAATTAAATTAAAATAAAAAAGCTAAAAATCATCCCACTTCCCAAACACAAGTCGGCATTAGAGTTTAGACAATTCACAATTGCACGCTTCTCTATCTCTCATCTTCTCTCTGCTTCTCACATGCTTTCCATTTAGGGTTTGAATCTCTTTGCGAAATTCTGCGATTCTTCTAAAAAAACAAAAGAAGTTGATTTCTTGACTTGGCCGAACGATTCAACTACTCGTGTTATTCGGCCAAAGCCAAAGGTAAAATCTTTCACTTTTTGTTGTCTAATTTCTCAGCCTCTAAGGGCCTCTTATATTATGAAGTTGTGATTTTTTCATTTTAATTTGTTTCTTTTTTATTTATGAACTGAACAGAAAGGTAGGGCAGTAGCCAGTAGGCAGTGCATCGCTAGTTCGCTACGTTGGTATTGGATCTTCTGAGTCCTGATTCATTTGTCTGAGTCTTACAAATAGAGCTCCAAATATCAGGTTGTTTCCCTCTTTTTTAAACTCTATTTCAGGTTATTTTGATTTGTTGAATCTTGATATTATGGCTCCTGGAATGAGAAAGTATGAATCCGGTCATGATAAGCTCTTGAAAAGAAGAAAAGTTGAAGCATTAATAAAATCTCAAGCAGGAGCTCTTGATAAATTTATCAAAAGAGACCCTCAAGTTTCTGTT